CTATGTACTCCAAGTCTCTGGTGCAAGTCCACAGCAGAGAAGCAAATGGCCCTTTTTCACATGTCTCTATTCCACATGCCTCCTCCAGACAATTCTCTAAGTCTTTTCTAGCTTCTCCTTGGTACTCAGCTCCATCCTTCATTAGGTGGCTCAGGGAACATTTTATGAAGATTCTCTGTGACACTACCCAAGGGGTATATTTATTTCTTGGCCCTTATACTTTTATGCAATATTCACATTAGCGAAGTAGAGATGTGAATCTATTGGACTCTCTTTGACTTCACAAATGACTCTGTTGGACTTTAAAAGAGAGTAACAGTGAGCTCTAATTCTAAGACCATTGTGAATCTGACATGGTTATGATTAGTTTGAAAAACATGAATTTGTAAAGGATGAGAAAGAGCTCAGATAACTTAAACATACATGTGGTATTCTTTCTTCAACTGTTCATAGTTTCTGCCCTCTCCTTTCTTGACCAAGAAGAATGAAAAATAAAAAAAAAAAAATACTCAAAAGTGGGAAATTTAACCCCTTTGGTCTGCTAGACCCTCACAACGATAGTCATATTACCATTGTCTGCCCTGAGATCCTCAAACCCAACCCTGTATATGTCATTCCTTTTGTGAGAAGCAATATGATGAACTTGGATTTCCAAGTCATGTCATATGCCCAGAAATCTAATATCACACATCTGTCTCTACTGCATTTAGACAGTCTTCTACAGCCACCTCAGCTACTATCCAGTTTCATTATTTTAAGATAACTTATCATCTGATACACTGTGTGTTTTATTTATATGTTGTTTTGCTCCCCTTCATTAAAATATTAATTCTGCGCAGAAAGGAGTTTTGTCTGTCTCAGTATGGATACCCTGAGCCAAAGAATGCTTAATGTTTCCAGAACATATGACAGTGACACATAATAGACAGACAAAAGCCATTTGTTGAATAAATGAATGAAAGAGAATAAGAATGGTTTACTTTGGGGGAGGGCTACTTCTTTTTTATTTTACATTTGAACAAACAAGTTTATAGATCTAAACACTGAATCATCCCTGAGTTTTTACAATCCTTCTTGCAACTTTGACAGTTCTATTATCTTGAAGTTAAATATATACCCACTCTGGGATGCTTTGTGTCTGAACTCCCTTGATGATATACATTTTGCAAATACGTCTGTATTGTCAGTGACACTAACCTCTGTGGAGTCCAAGATTATTCATGCAACTTGATCTTTGATTAAAAAACAAAAAATTGAAAAGTGATTTTTTTTTTTATTTTTTTGTAGCCTTAAAGCATTCTCTAGAACACAGATGAGTTTGGGAAACATCTTTGGTATTTACAATAAATATCAAATGAAATTATGAATTGTTTCCTTGACTAAAGCTTCATCGCAGGATACTTAAACAATATGTTCAAGAGTCTGAATTGTCATGAACCACTAGTTCAAAAGTGGCAAGTGCATTTTGAGGAGTGTAGAGTGGGAAGATACTGGAACCTTGCCAGACAGTAAAAGATGTGCAGGAAACTAGCAAAGCACTACAAGTTTGGATGCCTCTGTGCCAAAGAATGCTTAATGTGTTACTGTGCACTAAGGAAGAAAATGTACTTATATTTTCTATCATACTTTCTTCTATTAAAAAAACACAACAGGCTCAAAATTTGCTTATTAGTGCCAAACTCCAAAAAGATTTAATATATAACTTAATGGCTGCTTTAGCCTTTTCCAAAAGCAGGGTTTTAAACTAATTAACATGGAATTTCCTAGGGTGCACTAGTGAGGTAATTTGCATGATAAGATAAGACTTAGGGAAGGTGGCTTTGGCTGAAATAATCTTTGTTTTCTTGTACTACCCTCTTTAGGACTTGCCATTTTGTACAACTCCTTGCAATTCATTTATCCTTCCTAGATGGGATTCTGTTTAATTCATGAATGGCTTAATAAAGTCAATTAGATGTCTAAATTTATTTTAATGACTTTTGTTTGTTTAGTACTTAGCAATCATTAAATACTCATCACTTTACAGCTATTAAACTTTCAATATCTAAGCAATTTTTTCATACCTCTCTCATTAGGAACATCCCAGATAGTGCCTACCTCTGTTCATGAAACTTAAAGGAGTTACTTGGAAATATTTTATTTATTTATTTTTTAAAGATTCATTTATTTGTTTGTTTGTTTATTTATTTATACAAACACTGGGTACAGTCAGAAGCGTGGGAGGGTAGAGAATTCATCAGAGCCAGAGCAGGGAACAGAACAGGCAGATTAATGAAGTATACTGCTGAGGGGAGCAGCAGGCGTGGCAGGAGAGGTCTGCGCGCTATGTGGGACCCTTGCCCAGTGGCTGGGGATCAAACCAGTGCTGCAGAGGCTGTGGGCAGCTTCGCAACCCAGCGCTCAACTGCTGTGCCACCGGGGAGGCCCTGGAAATGTTTTAAATAGTGAAGAGGAAGAAAATTAATTTACCTGTAACACCCACTGTAATAAAAGACAGATTTCCCAGGAAAATCCCAGAGAGATTTTCATACATATAGAAATAAATATGAGGTGGAAAATGATGAAAGCATTTTCCCTAAATTTCTAGTCCATTTCAATTCCTTTACAAACAGCTATGAGAATACAGATCGCTAACATTTTCATTAAAATATCTGACCATCCCTATGTACCTGCTTTCTAACCATCACCACACTACTACCATTGTAGCACTTTAGGACGAAAAAAAAAAAAAAAAATCTTTCCATGATTTAAGAACAGATGGAGAGTGACTGAGAGCTCTGTTGCTTTCTAAATAGAAAAACAGTATTTGTTTTCCATTAGACATAGGATAGATGGTGTCAGCCATTAGGTATCTTTGTTAATCTCTTCAGCTGAATAGTCCTAAAGCTTCAGTACCAACAGTATCTATTTATATGGATCAATAATGCAGATACACTTTTTTGCAGTCTTCCCCCAAGCCTGAACATATTAGCTTAACCTTTTTGAATAAAATATGCAATAGAAAACTATTGTATTGTAGAGTTACATTGGGCAGTGTGTCTGCCATCAGTGCATATAATCACAGAGGTAGCTAGAGAAGGGTGTTTGGAAATTCTAGTGACCTGCATGTGAAGCTTAGTTTTTAGAGTGATCTCTACAGATTATCCACATTCAATCATAAACAGAACTTTTTACATAGAAGTGTTTTAAAGATTGTTAAAAATTGTTCTAAAGCATCTGAGAATTGTTAAAAATGAGCATTACCAATCTGCCACTGATATAACAAAGACAGTGTGAAATCTACTCTACCAAAAGAAACAATTCATTGTGAATGTGATACCAAGCCAAAGAACTTCTTTTCCATGTATATAGAAACCCATACCTTGACACCAAGATTTAAGAAAAGAGTTCATACAGTCTTCTGACAAGGAAACAAGGGGCGAAAGTCAAGTCTGTCTCCCCAACTGTAAAGGAAATGGGTTCATATTGTTGGGGGGAGTGTAATTGAAAATGAAACAGTAAAATTTTATTTGTTAAGGACTGGATTAAAGGCAAACATGTATGGACTTGACTGAAATTTACTGGTTAGTTATAAATTGGTCCAATATATGGAGAGTTTTCTTTTAAATGACCAAATTATCTTGGTAGACAGACTCATTACTTGTGTGCTTTGTTTGGTTCTTCTTCCTGTCTTCATTGTTCTGTGTCAAAAGGTCTCTTGGTTCCAGCTGACTTGGAGTTTAGTTTAAGGTCCATCGCTTGGTATATACTTGAGCTGTATGATTTGTAGACAAGCATCATTCTCTATTTCTTCTGCAAAAACTAGCTCACAGTTAGTTAATATGACTAATTGTTCCTGCTAACAGTGGAGCAAAGTTTTAAATGCATCCCATAACCTGAATAAGCTCGTGTGGAAATCTGCGTGAGTTATTTGAATAAAAAGCACCTCATATGAAGAATTATTATTTTTAGATTTGGACAATTACTTTGAGTGTATACAATATGTTCATTCTAGCACCTACATGTATGAATGTTATATGTGTGTTTCACAACAACCAAAAGAAAGAGGTTGCTGTCTTCAGTGTTTAATCGAGGAAAGGATTAGGGATTTGCCAGAAATTATAGAGCTATTTAGTTGTATTGGCACCTGAACCCAGAACTAGTGACTTCAGAGCTATTGTTTTCTAGTTATTTTTACAGTTTTCTGAAAGAAATTAAAGTTCACTGTCATGTTCAACTCAAGTAATGTAAACCACTGCCTCTGTATATGAGGCAACATGAAAGACCATTGTCACAGTTATGCAGCTACCCAGAATAAATAGGAATGTTTGAAAAATTTTGGGGAGCTCTTTTATATAACAGGCAATAGTCAAAAGCAGTAGAGTATGAAAAAGCTACAGCCTCAGTCCATCAGACAAAGCACAGAGTAGGAAAGAAGTTGGTGATATTTTTCACCCATGCTCGGATAGATTTTCATCATTAGTCGGTGCATTAATTCTATCTGGCTCCTGGAAACAGTCATTTGCTTAATAGTTCTTTTGTGACTGAGGGAGTTAATACACAATCCCAAATGAATTCACTTCCAGCTGGGGAGGAGTTTAGACCGAGATGGAAAAAAATCTAACTTCATTTTTCACAAATAATATGATGATGAAAGTTGGAACCAACTACTTCAGTATTTTTGTTGGAAAATTCATGTAGATATATTTCCTTGAGTCAGTGTAAATGGAGCTAAGAAAATTAATAAAATTCAAATTGTCCTTGTAATGCTCATATTTTCTGCATCCTACTGGGAGATTTTTATACTACACTAAACTTTTACCTAGGCATAATTCTAAATAAATATCTTAAAATTATAACTTTATTTTTGAAATAGTTCAAAATAATTGTCCAGTAACAAAAAATTGCATTTTTTGTAAGTTGTTGTTAGCCCACTGCCAATTAAGATTATCTATTTAAATGATTGTTGTGTTTAATTATGCTAGAGAAATATTAATACATACATGTAATTTTCTTGTTAGGTGATAAAACAGGAAGAACTTGGAAAGGATCTTTCTGATTGTACTCTGTATGATCTACTGAAATATGATGATTTTAACTCTGATAAGCACCTGGCTCTTGAGGAATTTTATAGAGCATTCCGTGAGTATTACATTTCTTCTCTAATTTCTTTTAGATCATTTTTCAGTTTCTTACACAGTGGTATGTTTGCTTGCTATCAGAGTACAAACTGTTTCTTAAGATAAGTGACATGATTGAGAAAATTGCAATGTTTGGCTATATTGAAACATATATAAAGGCAAGAGATTTAGCTGTTCTAAAATGAAGAGCTGGAAATATTTGATAATCCTGTCTATCGGTTCTCACTAAATCTAGTTTAAGACATTAGTTCCATAATGTGACTTGCAAGGTGATTTCAGAATAGAAAGAACATTTGACCAACATCACTAGATATCAAAAACAAACAAATCATTTGCAGGGTGAATATTTGTTTATTTTATTGTGAAATTCAAGTGGATTGATATAGTTACATATATCTTAATAATAAAAATTACAACAAACATGGAAAGTTATACTTACCTTAAACTTGGGAATATTTTATACTTACTTAAATTATTTAAAAACTTAAGATTAATCATTTATGCTTTATAAAGTTTATTGGCTAAATTACTTGCATGTTATTCAAAAACATAGAACTAAGAGACAAAAACCAGAAAAGATTTGGGAACTGTGTGCAAGAAGAGGGGAAAATTAAATTTACTCTTCATATTTGAAAATTACACAAGAATAGGAGAATCATATAATTTAATTCATCATCTGAAACCAATATATTTACTTATTGCTTTCTAAAAAGCAGCAGAGTGATGGGGACTGGAATTAAAAGGGCATTTGTGAATTATGCATCTACCATCTGTTGGATATCTGATATTGGGGGAAATTACTTCTACCTATATTAATAAGAATAGTGATTTTCTTATAAGCTGATAATTTTATATTGAAACATTGAACTCTTTTTTATGTAACATTTTTTACAAGCCAAAAAAAGTATGTGAAATATCTGTAGGTTACAAAGCTTTAAGGTAAGACACCAGGATACTCTTCAGATTTGATTAAATTGAATTTTCACTTTAAATTGCAACAGTGCAAAACAATACAGATCAATAGACATTTGATCTTTTAACAATGTTCAGCAAGATTAGACTACTTTTCAAATATAACAACAGGAAACATGAAAACAGCAAATGCATTGTAGTTTGTATGAAGAACTTGGCATACTAAAGTTAAGTACTAAGTGACTGAACTTATATCAGATTATGTCAAACTATAATTATAGCATCCTATGAATTTTCCACTCATCATCACTGTGTAGCAGACATCATTTTGTTTGTTCAGTCAGCAGGGAGAATCTATACTTTATCAGGCAGGAAATTATGATACATTATTAATAGTATATTACATCCTTGTATCTATAGTACTATGATGCAAGATAGAAGGGGATAGATGTGATAGCAATATTAAGTGAATCGAGAGTATCATCTCCAATTCTGGGAATCAGGTGATTTTATGATGATGATAGCAACTGAGTTAGTCTTCCAAATTAGTGGATTTCAGCTTTGGGAGATGAGAGATGGAAGATGGACAAAAATACCATAATTAAAAAATCAAGAGCATGAGAAACTAGGGTATTTAGAAAAACTAATACAACTGTGAGTCTGAAGTACTTTGAAAACATATCACTAATTGTTGCTTTTATACTAATTTATATCTGAAATAATCAATAAAATCTATCAACTACTGTCTCCCATTCCCTTGCTATGAGGATACATGGATTTGGCAAAATTAAATTAATTGAAACATGTAGTGACAGCAGGAAATAATCTTAATGATACACAATTTATCAAGTATCAATAAGATAAAGACATGGAAATGCTTGTGCATGATTTTTATCTAGAATATTGATTGTGGAATGCTGTAGCTAAAAACTAAGGAAAACAAATAGTGAATAATGTTATTTTTATGACAGTACTGCAAAAGACTGAATAATGATCCCTAGCAATATCAGTAAATAAGAATATCGCCTAGACTACCACTGTTTGTACATATCAAGGGGAATAATGATCACTGTCTATGATAAGATTTGATGTTAAGAAATACAAGGTAGAGCAGTATATATTTCTGCTAAATAAAATTTTGCAATTCATAAATCAAGCAATAAAAGTATTCAATAAAGAAATAGTAAAACATTTATAAAAGAGCTGTATTGTGCTAGAAACTATTGAACTAGTATGGAAAAAATACTTGATTTTGTTAATTGTTAGAAGGTAACGTTAGCAATTTCATATAAATAAGTTATAGTTCATGCAATTATTTTAATGAATACCACAATGATTCTGTCATTACATCAAAAGTATGTATTGTACAATGGGTCTACATTTTTAATATTTGAGTCATAAATATTTATTAGGTAATGAAAGCATTTGACAGTCATTTTATGAAATTTTTCTTTTTTGTATAATCACAAAATATACCTTAACAATATAAAATTATATTGACCTAACCATTTAAAGAACAATGTTTTTTAAGTAATACTGGAATTATAGATGTTATTTTTATAATCTGTATGGCCTCACCAACTGGTTTTCTACAAATAAATCAGGTATTAAATCATGGTTACACCCTCATTTAAAGAGAAGACCATGCTATCTAGTGACTGCCCCACCACCCCACCAGAGATAGTAAAACTAACTTGTGTGTATTGTCTTTACATTACCAAGAAGGGATTTATACTTGATGAGAATAGGAAACATATACTGTTATTTTTCCTCCCCATCTGCTATAATATTTCACAAATTCACTTTGGCTTTATTAAGTTTAATAACAGGCTTTGTATAATGATATGATTTTAGAAAATTACTCTATTATAAAATCCTTACACAGTATTATGAATAAAAATCATATAATAGTGAGAAAGGCAGTCTATTAAAAAGTCATGTATCAAGTGGCTACATGTTTATAGTGCTGTGATAGTTAAGTAACTTGAAAAGATAAATTTTCTTTCTGATAGGAATATGAAATCTCAGACAGACAGTGATAAAGATGACAGATATAATAAAGGTAAAATGTCATGATTTTCACATCAAGAATGTATTCCCCAAGATAAAAAAAAAAATAATAAGCAAACAGCCCAGAAAACAGACAATCTATAATTGGATATCCAGAAGAATAATAAACTAAGACTGGAAGAGTTAATAAACTTATCTTGATTCATTAATTATTTTCTAAGTAGATACAAGGATAAACAGATTTGCTGAGTTACAGAGTATTTTTCTTTTTTGCCATGCTATATAATGGAAATAAAGGGTAGTTTGCAAATTATAAATGGTTAATGAAAAAACAAACAACGGGGCCTCCCTGGTGGCATAAGGGTTTAAGCACCACACTATGAAGCAATCTGTAGCCTCTGCAGCATGAGTTCGATCCCTGGCCGGCCAGGGAGCAACTCACATGGCACAGCAGACCTCTCCTGACTCACCTGCTGCTCCCCTCAGCAGTGTACTTCAATCAATCTCCTGTTCTGTTCCCACTGTGTGTCTGGTGAATCCTCTCACCCCCCCATATCTCTGGCCTGTACTCCAGCTCTTGTATGCATAAATAAATAAATCTTTTAAAAAAAGAAAAAAAAAACACATCACTGACCAAAAATTACATTATTATTACAGTATTTATGAGCTTCACTATAAATATTTTTCCTTTGTGGATAAGATGAATTATTATATTTTAATATTTTTCAATAGGCATTGAAAGGTTCAGTATTCTTAAATTTTTGCAGCATTTTTGGTATTATCTTTAAAAGTCCACTAAGGTATTTACAATAAATTGTTACTAGGTTTTTAAAATAATTTTCAATTTTACTAAGATATTTAAAATAAATCCTAAGTGTGAGCATAGGGTATTCTAAATCATTCAACTTGCAATTGAAATCCTCTTAATGTGATCCAATAAATATTAAGAGGGTTCAGGGCCAAATTTTTGAAAAAAAACAAATTCAGAAAAAAATCACTAAATCTCTGGTCAGAAGGTAGATGCCTCATCTTAGCATTTTATTTTCTTGAATATTGTCAGTAAAAGTGTATATTTTTCAGTGAAAACATCTGTTACATAATTAAAAATGGGTTAGGCATGTAATTACAACTACAAAAATTTGTAATAACATATAAGATTCATTGTTTTAATTTCTTCCATGTCAGCATTGTGGTGTTTGGCTAAGTTTGATTTGCATGAAATACTTTATTTTTTCCTTTAAATCTATGGGTAAATGCAATGATTACCTCTTAGACAAGATGACCATGTACTGAGCTGAGGCATTTAATTTCAGAAGTGATTTTCAAATAAATTTTTGTATTTACTTAGTTTTGTAGTTAAACTCAATTAAGATGACAAAGTACTGTGTTGTGATTATTGATTTTAGGAACAAATTGCTTTCACTTACGAAGAGTGGTGTAATTCACAATCCAAAGAAAGAATATTAATTTTGAAAATGATTTCATTATAATTTATTTGCTCAGTTAAAACATAAATTACTTTGACTTTCTGTAGTAATCTTGAAATTATATGAAAACAGAAATGTGTGTAATTCTGAAACTCATCAGAGATGTAGCAGTAGAAACTGTAGTGCTGGCAGTTCAGCAGGTAAATATAAGAATATTTCCTTTTTAATGAGCAAAAAGCAGAGTACATAACCCTATATCAATGAAATATTTACATTGGGCCTCCCCTGGTGGCACAAGCCCTTGAGCTCCACGTAGTGAAGCTGTCCGCAGCCCCTACAGTGCCAGTTCAATCCTGGCCGGCCAGCGAGGGTCCCATATGGCACAGCAGACCTCTCCTGTCGTGCCCACTGCTCCCCTCAGCAGTGTCTTTTGTCAGTCTGCCTGTTCTGTTCCCCATTCTGTCTCTGGTGAATCCTTTCACCCTCCCATGAATCTGGCCTGTACCCCAGTTCTTGTATAAATAATTAAATAAATCTTTTTTTAAAAAAAAGAAAGAAATACTTAGATCTAATCCAAAACAACAAAACTCAATCATGGGTTTAGAAATGAATAGGGTGCTTGACTTTGGAAGAGCTGAAGGCAAAATGACTT